AATTGACAAAAGTAGAATTTTTGCAAGACACATGCAATTTTTATTCAATTTTTGAAAGTATTAGTTTTCAGAAAATTACAGGTTTCAGAACCTAAAAAAATATACTTTCATGGAGAAAAATATAAGTAAAAAATAAATTTAGTTTGCCCCAACACGAAAATATTGCTTCACTTCTACCTCTTTAAGGTACACATGCGCAGAAAAGTTGAAGTTAACATGGTGTCAATTCCATAGGTATAAATGTCAGATGACCGTGTATTTTGATATAATCTTCAATAAAGATGATCAGAACTTATTCCTCACTTTTGATTGCTCCAATGTTGAGATCTCAAAACTTTGCCGTATTCATATTTCTCATAGCTCTTTGGCTTTTATATAATACAATTATCTTAAAAGAAACACATGATATTGACTCACTATGTCAGTTTAAATAATAATTTGCTTAAAATTTTGATCATCGCTAGAAAACAATACTCGAAAGATTACACCTTCTCTGTACAGTATCGTTACTATAGGAGTTAAAACTCGAAATCGTACGCATGTTTCTATATAGGAAGGCATTGAATCCATTTCAGAAGTTTATGTTGATACATTTTGGTAGTTGTATTTTATCTGACGTGTTGAAAAAAAGAGAAAATCAATATGAAGCGGAAGAAAATTTCTGAAACGCTAATAAACACGCCCATTTGAATCACATGTTATTTATCATATCGTTAAGAAAGGGAAAAATTCATTCATATTTATTTTTATCATCTATGGTCGTATCTTTGTAAAGATTCATCTATTTAATATCGAGTGTTTTTGCACCTTTCATATACTTCCTTTGTCGTATTACTGGTACATTACAATACAAGGTACTCACATGTATATATAGGATATTATTTAAAGAATGCTTACCTTTTAATATTATGGTATGAGGAAATACTAGAATATACTATGTTTCCGAGCAGCTGTCATACTTTCCCATTCACCCTCACGCTAAATCAGTTTAATTATTGCAAATTATTTCCTATTTTCAATTTTATATCAGAAAAAAACCCAGTAATTACATTCAATTAAAAAATGGTGGTTAGAGTGATCATTTAAAAAAAAAACCCAAAATTCCAGACAAAATTCTTAGTAATTAAGAATTTCCTTTTTTATCTATAAACTTAATTATTAAATATACCACTCTACCTTAATATTAACAAAAGAGATTTTGATTTCATTTTGAATACTTTTAGGCAGTGGAATAAACGTTTATGACGTAAGCGGAAGGAAGTCATATGAGAAAAACGATTTTGGAATTTCAACGATTAAGAAAACATGAGTTTTAATTTTCCTTCATAACGTTTGTATTTTAGAAAAATACAGAGCCAATTTTTTATTGAAACTGTGCCTTGCTCTTTGTGATTTATATTCGAGAAGTTGTCATTCACATTCGTGAACTTGTGAATCGTATTCTACTTGTGATTCGTAAACTACTGATTAATTTGCAAAATCAGGCCGTCACGGTAGCTCAGTCGGTAGAGCGCTCACTCCGTGATCGGGAGGTCCTGTGTTCTAATCACGGCCGCGACTGACCTAAAAAGGTAACAACTGTTCTTTCGTCAAGCGCTCGGTACTTTGAAGTTAAAGTTGAGTGCAAAAATCCTCGAACGGGACGTAAAACAAATTACAATCAATCAATCAATCAATCAATCAATATGCAAAATCAATCAATCAATATGCAAAATCATGATTTATTTTAGATTGATTGATTGTATGTTGTTTTACGTCCCATTCGAGAATTTTTCACTCATATAGAGACGTCACCATATACCGGTGAAGGGCTTCAAATTTTGACCTTTACTCGGCACTCAGGGCCATTGAGCAGTGAGGGATCTTTATCGTGCCAGCGCCTGCCGTGACACGGGGCCTCGGTTTTTAAGGTCTCATCCGAAAGACCCGCAACTTTCACTTCAAATTGCCGAGCGCATGGCGAAGGAACAGTTGCTACCCATTTTATCGACTTGGGTCTGTCGCGGCCGAGATTCGAACTCACGACCTCCCGATCACGGAGCGAGCGCTCTACCGACTGAGCTACCGTGAACGGTGATTAATTTTAGAAAAGTTGATATTCATATTCGAAAACTTGTTTTAGGATAAAAAAAAACATGATTGACATTCAATAATCTCGTTTCTCTTGTTAAAATCATACATCAAATTTGTCTAAGAGAAAATAAGCTAAATCTCATTCGTCTGTCAGTCCGACCCTCTGTCTGCCTGTCACGAAAAATTTAATCTTGGTCAAAACTTTTGAATGAGAGGAGATAGGGCTTTCATTTTTCATATGTACATTACATGTGAAACACCTTTCCAAATATACAATACATGTATTTTTTTTTACCCTGTGACCTTGAAGTTTTGACCTACTTTTCCAATTTTTTAACAAACTTTAACCTTGGACATAACTCTTGAATAAGAAAAGATAGGACTTTCACATTTCATATGTATATTACCTGTGAGAAGACATTTCCAAATATACTATGATTTTTGATCCTGAGACCTTGATCTTGATGTTAGACCTCATTTAAAAAACTTTTAACGTTACTTTATCCTTTATCATAACTTTTCAATGAAAAAAGATATTTCACATGTACATTAACCGCGACAAGACCTTTCCAAATATACCGTGATTGTTGACTCCGTGACCTTGACCTTGAAGTTTGACCTACTTTTCATTAATTTTATCATTATTTATAACATTTGAATTAGAAAAGAGAGGACTTTCATATTGGATATATGCATTACCTATGACAAAATGTTTCTGAACATCCTATGAATTCTTATCCTATTGACCATCAAGTTTGACCTAATTTTCAACAATTTTAACAATGAAGAACGTTTGAATGAGAGATGAAAGGCCATTCATAGTTGACAATTGCATTAAATGTGTTAAAAAGTTTCCGAAGTTTCCGAATGTGCTACGATATTCGACACCGAGGCCTTGGCCTTCATGTTTCACCTAATTTTCAAACATTTTTATCATTGCTGCTGTGAAAGGGGCGAAGATGGGGAATTCATATTTGACACGTGCACTACCTGTGACAAGCATTTCTAAATATACTATGATTTTGAACCCCATGACTTTCACCTTGAGGTTTGACATAATTTTAACATTGCTGATAACTTTTGATGGAAAGAAGATAGGGTATTTACATTTTGCATATGCATTACCTGATTCAAGAGCTTTCCGAATGAACTCTGGTTTTTGACTTCATGACTTTGACCTTTAAGTTTAATCTACAGTCTTTTCTCAAATTAACAATGGTAATAACTTTTGAATAAGAGAAAATAGGGCTTTCCTATTTTTACATGTACATCACATATGACAACACCTTTCAGAAAGGTATATCATTCTTCACTTCATGGCCTTGACCTAGAAGTCTGACCTATTTAACTTATCAAAAAATTTAACTTTGCTCACAACTTTTGCTCCAGAACGGGCAGGGGTTTCATATTTTTTAATAACATGTGCATTACTTGTGATTCCGATTTCCGATTTTATTATATTTGACCTCTTGACCTAGATCTTGAAGTTTGATGCAGATTTGGGAAGCTTTAAGCTTTACCATAGATTTATGAATTCAATAATTTATATCTTTTTTATATGATGCATAGACAAGACAGGACACACAAACAAGACAGTTACAATATGCCATAATTACATCCCAACCAGTAAGACACCGAAAACGGTGGACCACAATTCTTTGAATTTGCTGGTTTTGATATTTAATGGAAAACTTGAAATTGAAACATATAGCAGTGTGCTATTTATCGAACATAAATCAGTATGCTTTTTGGAACATATCTCAGTATGTTGTTAGAGAATAAAATAATTTGATTTTTTGACACATAGTAGTATGCTATTTTTTTTTTTTTAGAAATAAAGTAGTGTCCTAGTTTTGGAACGCATAGCAGTATGTCATTTCTTGGAACTTATAACAGTATACTATTTCTTTAATGCATTGCAGTATGCAATTTCTAGAACGCATGGTAATTAGTCTGATTAAAATGAGGCCTTCATGCAACAATCAAAATGACAAGGAGCTAGTGAAGGTCGATCTGCTTTTAATCAGACTGGCATAGCAATACGCCATTTTTTGAACGCACAGGAGTATGCTATTTTGGAACACACTACAGTATACTATTTTTCGAACATATAGCCGTACACTAACTATTGAACAGCTTGCAGTATACTACTTTTGAAACATATAGCAGAATGCAATTTTTGTAACATAAAGCGTTATGCTATTTTAGAACAATATACTATTTCTTAAACGTATATCAATATGCTATTTTTGAACGCAAAGGAGTGTGCTTTTCTGGAACACCACGAATATGCTATTTTTGGAACATATAGCAGTGTACTATTTTTTTGAATGCAATCAAGTATATTTTAGAATATATAGCAGCATATTGTTTTTGAAAGAAATAGCAGAATAAGTTGATAACTGGGCAATTTGAAATTAGGAAAATGTCATTAAGTGTAAGAATATAAAACGGTAAGGAACTTGCCTTGTGAAAATAAAATAAATTTAAGAGTTTACGATAAACAACTTTTTGAAAGTTCTATAAACGTAATAATAGTTATGTCCTTTGAGATTATTAACATAATGAATTGTCGACGGATTTTTCCGTTATTTCCCGATCATGACAAGGAGCACACGGCGGGTGTGACCGGTCGGCAGGGGATGCTCACTCCTCCATGGCACCTGATCCCACCTCTGATGTGTTAGAGGTCTGTGTTTGCTCTGCTCCTGTTTTGTAATGTTTAATGGACTTTTGAGCTCGAATACTGTTAGTTATCTTCACATATTTCATCATTCAAAATAGTAAACATTTTCCTCCGGTCCGATTTTCTACCAGCAATATAAATTCTGAAGATAATCATCAACATCAATTAGTAAATCAAATCCAATTTTTTCCCCTTGTCAATCAAATGTAAATAAAAACATATGAGCTATAAATAAAAAATATTTTTAAAAAATCGTTATTTTTTTAATCAAAGAAGTTTTAAAAAAAAAAACAACAACAGTGATTTCAAGTTAGCATTTGTCAATGGAGTTTATGATTTTATGAAACGCCTTCCAAGCCGTGTAGTTGACCATACACAACGCTCCTCCTCTTCTCTTGAGGGCTGAAGTCTATAAATCAGAAAAGAACATGAAAAGAACGTTTTTTTCAGAGTACAATGTATATTAAAAATCCATTACTTACCAAATAACGTACCATGAAAGTGAAAAAAAAAACGCAATCAAATGAGAAGAGGATATGAAATTGGCATTTCATTTCTTCGAACTTGAATGATTGTTTGAGATTTCCCGCTGCTATGAATCTTGGATTTTTGAAACTTTATTCGTAAAGATAATGAAGAGAGAACTTGTTTACCACTCGGTCAAGGTCTCCAACACACACCCATCTCCCCAGTGTCTCGGACACAGCCCACTTGGCGTGATCTCTTTTACCGGACAAGTAGATGCTGGTATCCGGGAACTGTATTTTGGATACATTTATCACCTATGCAAACATACACAATAAAGATAATTCGGAAACAATACTCAAGTAATTAGGAAAACGGTATCATATGACCAAACGGGATTAAAAAATAACGTTATCTTATGTTTATGGTTTAAATTCTGGACATTGATGAAGGAACCGGAAACACTTGCAAGTACTGGTATTCTCTCTAGGAAAATAAGTCCGGAATTTCATTCCCCCTTCCTTCTTTTAAGGTTAAGATATGGTTGTCAGAGTATTCAAATTTTTAGTACTAAAATATACAAGTACGAAAGGTCATATATTTTGTCCATGTAAATGCAATTAGTATACACCTGTGGAACACACACAATCACAACCCTACAACACCCACACTCTCTCTCACACAAAGGTCATGTAAGATTGAATCAACCTTATACTCTGAGGAGCAGGAAGACGGAATCCCAGAGTCTGTCTGAAAGGACTGGACTAAGACGTTTTTCGATAAACTCGGAGCAACCAAAGAATCGTACAGGTCTAGAAAAAAAATCATATATTTATCAAAACAAATGTATTAAATAAATCTGTCATACTTCCTGATTATCTAACGCGTGATAAGGAAATTCTGAATAGTTTTAAAATTTCCTAACCTTTCTGGTCTGATGAGCTTTTGGCGGAACACTTCAGTTCCATGTTGTCGTGGGTATACATGCTTAATACCAAAGACTCGTTTGAGGGTTGAAGTTGTGGTATTTGCGCTTCAGGCCCTTTTCCATCGTATATTTTGGGTTGTGTTATTTTGAATATTTTACCTGCAAAACATATCGACAACCTAAATAATATAAATGGCAAAAATAAAATTTGTTAATGAGATAACCCTTAGAATAAAGGGTACAATGTTAAGAGTTAAATCACAAAATAAAATTACTCACGGACGTTCACCAGCTCCTGAGTATTTAAAGTGACACAGACAATCATATGACCGTCCCGCTGCGCTTCTTTGTTAAATGCGTATCCCTTATTTTTGGGTGGGGGAAACCCGGGAATACTGGAGATCAACCAAAATCCCGTCTGCTTATCAAATGCATATACACCTATAATGGGCAGTTAATTTCATCTCAGAGTTTCACAACTATTGTCAAATATGGTTTAAAAAATACAGGAAAAAGAAAGACAAAAGCTTTATCTGGTATGGCAAATGTATACCTTTGGTTTGACCAAACTCATCTTTCTCTTTCCAAGTTTTGTTTGAATTCCTCGGCGGTTCGTCGTTATACATGCCATATTCCAACATAAAGTACTGAAGAAAGAGAAAAAAAAGCTAAAAATATAGAATATAGAAATAATAGTTTTACAAGAGTGGATAATATAATTTTACCTGGAAGCCCATTTATTTTTACTTAAAGATTAGGGCAGAGTGGTCTCGCATTTTACGCGTACGTATTTTCATGGATGACAATTCAATCGAAAACACGTTTTATCGATTTAAAAACTTTTAAAAAAGTGTTTGTAAAGAATATAATAAAAACGAACATTTTTAGAGACAATATGCTTTTAAGAGACAAAAAAAAAGAGATTGCATACATTCAGATAGATCTGTTGGAGTGTGTTGTAAAGAGCGTGTCCATCCTTGTCTATTGGGGTGGGAGAAAGGGTCATTACAGGTCGATGGGAGTCCATATAATAGAAGGCCACGCCCTCAGATATCATCTTGTTTTTGTCTTGGGGATCCTGGGGAGTTTTGTAAACAATAAACCTAAAAGAGTAAGGGACCAGCATTATAATAAAATATGATATAATGAAATACTATTATTTATTTTCTAACAAACAAGTAATTCGATCTGTGTTCATAGTAGCCTAGGTAAAAACTGAAATTTACATAAATGCCTAGAAATACACGTAATTCTCCGATGAGACTGAAGTCTACTGGTTAGAACCTACATACATGCAATAGAAAATAGTGTTACAAAACTTTCAAGAACTAAAGTAACGTTTCTTTTTCATCTCCTCTGCTTGAAAAGCGGGGGTTGTATAGTGATGGGAGTGTCCGTCCGTCTGTACGTCCCTTACGCTTAGGGATAGCCATCCCTTATCTGTAGCTCTTCCTATGGCACTGAATAAAATTTAATGAGATTTTAACACAATCTTTTTCACATAGTACCATTGTGTACATCTAATTTTACATTTTGATCTGACAGATATTTGGGGTTTCCCATAGCAAAACATGGGCACTGCTATTTTAATCACAGAAGAGGGGGTATTATTTTGTGAAATCAGTGTTCACAGTTCCTCCAGTTATTTTTGCCTTACGGTGGATTACTCTTATTAAAATCAGAGCAAAAAATGTATGAGGAGAAATACTTTGATGAAAAATGATACAGAAAGTCACCTTTCCAATGCATAAGGTCACCTTAAATATTATTTCGTAAATAAATTTCAATGACAGGAAAGTTTTTCTTTTAGGAAGGACACTTAGAAAATATGTAGGAAGATATTTATATATATACCAGTCCACGGGTTGGCGATCAATACCCTGGCATGTTATTCCATTCGTGTACTCCTCTCCACGGACTGTAACCGAAAACGTTATCCACAAAATCCAAAGAATAAAGTCAAACAGAATGGGCATCTTAATAGTGAAGATCAGGTCGATATTCTTTCTTTTTTTTCCAAACAATTTAAAGTCACCTTACGTAATGCGTTTGCATTAAAATTAATCAAAATGTTTTGTAATTTAACTAATATTCACAGAAAAAAAATGCAATAAGGAAACTTTGCGATGAGCCGGAAAAGAATATTTTCGAACATAACATTATCAGAGCACTTGAGAATAATCACTCCATATGTAAATAAACCATCGACAATCAGGAACACTTTAAATAACTAACTCAACAGCTTCGTTCATTTTTTTTTTTTTTTTTTTTTACAAAATAAGAAATAGTACTTAATAACATGTATAATTATTTTATTTCTTTAATTTCCAGCTAAAATAACATAATAAGTGTACAATTTTGTATAAAAATAAAGACCGAGCAACTGGTATGAAAAAACTTTAAAATGCTCTAGAGTGAGACTTCCCCCCTGAACCTGGCTCTAGAATTAGACTTCCCCCTGGGGGAATTCTGACTCCAGAGCGGGAGAACCCCCGGGGAAGTTTCACTCTAGAGCCACACTTCCCTGCAGCGTTACACAGGAAGACCAACTCTACTACTAGTTGCAGAGTCAGACTTCCCCCATGCCAGGTCTTCCTCCTACATTTAATCTTGCTTTAACTAGTACTACAATCACTCCACAGACATAATTAGTTAACAAACATTTACAGCGGTGCATTAATTCCCCCGTTTTCACTGAAAGTGAAGGATATTAATTTGGGTCTGACTGTCCGACAAGCTGTTATTTTGTCTACACGTGAAACTCTTTCGTTTCCAGACAATATCTTAAAAACCTTGCAAGGAAATTTTATATCATATTCACAAATTGCACGTCGAAATGACTTTCCTAAAGATGCTTCTCGCAAGTAAATGCTGTTATTAAGTAATTCCTGATTAAAAGAAATAAAATCAATTTATGAATATGAATATATTTTAACTTTCGCGCACACATTTACATGTAAACTTAATGAAATGGACAATTTTTATATTGTACACTAAATTTTATAGATATATACATGTACATAAAATAAGGTATTGCAAAACATTCTTATTAAAAATAAATACTAATAAAATAAATAATAAAATGAATTACTATTTTGCACCAAGAATGCCAACTTCACTGTTGAGTGTGTTCTAGCTTATACACACTATAAGCGTTATCTGTAACTTATTAAAGAAGTGACGAGTCTATAAACCTTTACATCCAGTGCTAGTTGTTGTTGTTGTTTTTTTTTTTTAAATCAACAGTCCTTCCTTTCTAAATAAATAAATAAAATAAAATAAAATAAATGGATAAAATAAATTTAAAAAAAAATTCTCTTGAGTTTGAAGATATTATAATTTACTCAGTAGAATCTATCAATTGAAAATCAAACGATCATTGTGTTTAGTAATAAGTGCAACAAAATTTCACTGAAAAAAAACCCATCAAATTGTTTTAGACCATTTTATAAATACATGTACTGCATAGATCAGAAGACATTCAAGACGGTTTCACTTAACAAATTCATTGTTTCAACTCCTCCCTAAGTCCCTGTATCAGACTGCTTTTGGTCCAAGAAACGAAATAAAGTTACTAACCGAAGAAAAGTTCTTCAATAAAGAGATAAATCGACAGGTTCCATGTTCTTTTAAAGAAAATTAAAAAAAGTGCCATATTGTACATCATATTTTTTTCACGTAAATCTGCAATAGTTGAATTCTTCAATTGATGTATCAGAAACATATTATGATGTTACAGCACACTTCAGGTTCTTGTTACTGTTTCTTCTTATTTTTTGTTTGTTTTCTGTCATGTTCATTCCCAGGACAGACTGGTCATAAGTTCGAAATGGTACCAAACTTTATCCCGAGAAAACTATCCCTCAAGATTGTCTTGACTAATTGATGAAAAATGGTGTCCTGTTGTATTTACTGTGAACGTATTGCATTTAGCGGTGTATTCTATTTAGCGATTTTGGCGGAAAGCAGAATCCGCTAAATCAAGTGCATCGCTAAATGTCTTGTATATCATACGCTATATCTAGCACATTCGGATAGCGCTTGATCAAATTTACGCTAACTTTTTGAAAAAAAAATTCCGCCAGATATCGTACACGCCAAATATAATACATTTACAGTATTTGTCACTTTTACTGAACAAAACCTTCAGCATAGCGAAAAATTTGCTAACTTAAGTACACAGGACGTCACTAGTAGCTTAAGATTTAGAGTACTCTTTTATCTCTTTATTCCTGATTATATTTTTTTCTATATGCCATAGATTTTTGCCCCCTTCCCCAAGATATCTATTTTAAAGAAAGTTTCATCCATTTTCATTTATTTTATCGGCTTGGCCAAGATCAGGTGCCCATGTTGGTTGCAGATTAACAAAAAAATGAAGTCGGACTATACATACAGTATTTTCATTTAATGAGAGACTATAGAAAAAAAAGTTGCTTGTATCAGTAAATATTTGTTAAAATTATCTTCTTGGAGTTCACACTTGTTTAATGAATCCTTTCATTTGGATATTAAATCAATTTATACCAAATCCTGTGAAATTTAACAAACTAAAACAAAAACTTTATATAAATTCACAATACGAGTAAAATATAAATTATCAGAACAAAATAATACATGTCAGAATTACATGTTATTGGTGTTTTGATAACAAAATATTGTTTAAAACCATCTAAAAAAAACCCAGAATGAGCTTCAATTTAGCATTTAAGAAGGATGAATTTCATCTGAGCACGGGGGCTACGGACTATACCGTTAAACATCTCTACTGTTGACAATCAACTTAAAGAAAATATAATTGTATAATTAAATTTTGGGTAATTTTTTTTATTAATTGGTTTTCTATAACAGTTCACGCCACTTAGTTTGAGTATTTATAATACCATACTTAAAAAATCAATTGTCTAATGTACTATGTACTTTCAATGCCAAAAGAAAATCCAGTTCAACTAATTCAACTAATTAAAGCATTATTGGTGTTCAAACTGTAATGAATAAAAGCAACAGGAGCTGTAATTAAATCAGGGCATGATTTTTTTTTTTTTTTGGGGGGGGGGGAGGGGGGGTTACGAACAATATTGCTTCATATTTTTTTTCGATTTAATGTAACGCATATATAACTCAAGATGGTCATTCAAAAGGTGTATCAGTATATGATTTATTATAATCATATGGTGTAATTCAAAAAAAAAAAAAAATACAAAACATGATTGACCATTTGAAGTATGAAACACAAAAGCACAATATTTATCCATAAAGGATGAATGTTTTTTTTTTAAATGAACAATTCAGTGACAAGTAGATTGGGTGGCACAATTATAAGAGTGTAGGTCTCACTTTGTACTAAATTTTAAAGTAAGGAGTTGATCCTTATGTTTTGGGATCAAATCCCACAAATCCCACAATGGGATGTTAAGATGGGTCGATGAGAACTAATAAACCATTGAAGCCCCATTTTGCAGTAGAAACAAGTAGGAAAAAATCTCTTGTTAATACAGAAGTACGGTTATATGGTCTGTATATTTGCTTTTATTTGTAGAGTCCGTAGCCCTTTTGTAAGCAGGATTTGTGTGGCTAAATATTCTTTTAAAAATATTCCAATGCTAATTATTCTAAATAGATTGATAGTATGTACCACAAGAAGGAAAACTTTATCATGTATATTTAGAAATATGTTGTGACCACAAACAAAACAGGACAGACTACAGAAGCAAGCCTTTAGTTGAAAAATGTTAATTTCAGACATTTTATCTTTTTTACAGTGGTATTTGTATTTAAAAACATTGCATTTGTTCGAATAAACATATTTTTATATTGTAGTTATTGTATCAATAATGTATATGACTTTTTCTGGAAGTTATTATATTAGGGCTACGGACTATACAGGGCTACGGACACCAATCATTCTTCTATAACTTCTTTTAGTGTTGTCGCAAAAGCTATTCATTACTGTTTTTCACTTTACTGGTAACTGTGAAAATATTAAACAAGAGCATGATTAATTCTACATTCTTTTGTTGAACACAAACTATAATGAAATATGGGGCTAATGACTATACAAAATATTAGACCAGTATGGAAAATAAAATACAAAATGCACACACATTTTACAATTTAACCAATATATTTTTCTCATAGTACTTTTTTTCTTAAATAAAATAAAAAATTTTAAACCCATTTTATTTGCTCTTTTTTGCTAGAAATTATGCATTTATTCAAACATTGAAAAATCTTAAATTATATAACAAAGGTATATCTGCACACATTTATTCATAATTTCCACAATTTTTATCCTTTTTCTTTTCTGTAAAAAATAAACTTAACCAGAATGATTTCTCAATAATAAAGCATATTTATTTTGGAATGTTTCATTCAAAATAATTTTAATTAACCATTATTTAAAATGTAAAAAATCAAGTGCAACAGCATAATGCTTCAAAAATTATGAATTTTTGACTTTATTCTGTTGTTTTTTCAAAAATGCAGATACTAAATATATGATATTATATACCAATGGAAAGCTCTCCTTCTGATCTTTACAATGCAATAAAAGACATTTAGATTAGATGTAACTATAAATAGTTACATCTATATAACATGATTTAGTTGGAAATGGGCACCTGATCTTGGCCAAGCCGTTATATTTTGCAATGATATAAGTTATCTGGAAATTATTGATTTTATTTTTATGTCATATAGATATGCATTCTTATATCTGATGGTCTTATATCTGATGGTCTCTCTCTCTCTTTAATTATATACATTAATCATTCCTGTCATTCCTGTCATTTTGCAAATGTAAATACATTGAAAAAGAATAGATAGATAAATAAATCAATCAAAATTCAAATCACTGTCATATCATGGTTGATTTGAGAAAAAAATCTGCAACAAAATTTTCTTTGCAAAATTTCCTTGGTGAACATTTGATGGACTCCACAGTAAACATAATTTGACTTATACTGAAACTGGTGACTACTATATCTTATCTGAAAATGATTATTATGAATTCCAAAGGACGGTTCCTTTCCTTTTACATTTGTCAAAATCTTTCACAAGTTTTCTAAACTGGTTGGATACACCTTCATGATATAAACACATTGTTCCTCCTCCTCTTTTTAGCTGAGAATGCTACAACGGTTTGTTATCAGTTTAAATGCATATATTTCATATCTCAATTGTTTTAAAACTGCGTTTGATAAATGCAGTAAACTACACAGTTTATGTCAAATTAAATGCTTATAATAAATTTATTGAAAATAAAGTAGCATTGAGTACTTTTAGAGATAAAGATTTACCAATCAATCTAGGCTCCCCTAAGTGCTTTACTGACTAACTGCTTAGATATATTTTACGAATTAATACGATGTACTTACATTTCTGTTGATATCACCAATACAAGTCCATGGTTTGTTCTCTGCTATTGCCCACTTTGCATGATCTCTTGTTGATTTAAACCAGTACACGTGTTTATCATGCACAAACTCTACTCTTTTTACATTGTAAACCTGAAAAAATAATTTACCGGTAGGGTGATTTAGATAAATATCATTGTATAATCTATGAGCATAGAATTCCAAGAAAAATTGTTCTTACTTTGTAATGCGTTAAACAGTTAGATGGTAGATTTGGTCGCCAAGTCTCTACAAAGAGATTGTCTTCCAGTTTCTCGGCAACAAGAGAATCATACAGGTCTGTAACAAATTCATTTACTATTTAATTACCAGTATCGGACAACCGATCTTGTAGATTAGGTTTTCCCCTTCTAAACCCCCCCTCCCGCCCCCGCTGAAAATAAGCTCTAGGGGAGAATTTTCCTTACGGAAAAATGACTCTAGAGTAGGTTTTTCCCTACGAAAATCCCAGACCAGATTCAGTTTTCCAGGGGAAATCCTTCTCTGTGTAATTTATATACAATGGAGAGGATGTTTCAAGTATATTTTGTCCACAGGTGCTCTCGCAGTAGAAAATATTAATAAGATTTCACAAAAATTTTAATCAAAAAGTCTAGTCATGCATCATGCATGCAAGTTTGCTACAAATTCTCCATCAGGCGCAAAGCTAGCAACGTTTTTGGAAATTCTATTTTTAGGGGGCGGGGTAGGGATTCTCTAAGTTTCCAGATTTTTTTTCTTTTCAAATGCTGGAATTTGCCTGAGTTCGACCTAACAGCAACAAAAAGTGTGTATGAAAGGGGGTGGGTGGGCAAGCAGCGTCTGAATAAGTGAATTTTTACCTATCGAAACTTAAGCAAAAAAACTATTCCCAGAAAGGTGGAGAAATTGGGCAAAATATGGAGCCCTAACCCCCTTCCTGACACTTTCCCCAGCCTATAACAGGCCTGTTCATTGTCTAATGAATTGGTCGATCGATGATTGGAAATCTTTGATGAATCGAAATTGAAAGCTATCAAATTAAAGCAAAATACTAAAATACTGGGTAAAAATTACTTTTTAAACAACTTCAGTTGATTTTTTTTATAATGTCATACATATTTCTGCATTTCAAAAATGGATGGATTATGAAGGATTAATCACCCTGTTTATTTTAAAGTTCATAACTATGCATTCTTTCGCCAAGTAACGATAAATATTATACAACAATTAAATATTATACAATAATAGAAAATTATATGTATTTTAATCTTTACCTCGTCATTTACCCTTCAAAGTTTTTTCTATGCCGTTTCGGGGGGAAAAAAACCGAGCTCCTAGCTATTTAAAAATATTCCGGTTTTGCTTAATCTGGTTTTATTTAAAACACATAAAACATTTTTTGTTGTTGTGTGTTTAATTGTTCTTTTTCAATCAGAAAATACGTCTAGGCTAATGGGAAAAATATCACCATTTTGGCGAAAATTTTAATTTTTTAGTTTATTTCACAAAAAGTTGGTTAGGACCCCCCCCCCTTTCGATCCAATTCGCCTCCCCAATGTCAAATACTTGCCGACGCCCCTGATGCATTCAACATTTAAATTTTTCAAAATAGCAATCAGTTCCATTGAAGCATACAAAATTTTAAATCTGGCGTATCGAATCAACTGAAAGATATGAACCGCGTATGCAGGTGATAAGAGTATATTGCTGCATAAGTTAGGGAAGTTGACGATTGAAAAGTAAAAGTCACAACGTTTATCATAAAGCTTTATTGTTAGATTACTATTAACGCCTTTTTCTAATAAAATATTTAAATATAAAACAGATGTGTCAGACTCTGTGGTATCTTTTTAGCTCACCTGAGCTGAAAGCTCAAGTGAGCTTTTCTGATCACATTTTGTCTGTAGTCCGTCTGTCTGTAAACTTTTCACATTTTCGACTTCTTCTCCAGAACCACTGGGCCAATTTCAACCAAACTTGTCACAAAGCATCCTTGGGTGACGGGGATTCAAGTTTGTTCAAATGAAGGGCCACGCCCTCTTTCAAGGGGAGATAATTAAGAATTAGTGAAAAATTAATAGCATCTTTTAAAAATCTTCTTCTCAAGAACCACAGGGCCAGGAAAGATGAAACTCATACAAAAGCATCCCCAGGTAGTGTAGATTCAAGTTTGTTCAAATCATGACCCACAGGGGGGGTAGGGTGGGGCCACAATGGAGGATCAAAGTTTTACAAAGCAGTATATAGGAAAAATCTTTAAAAATCTTCTTCTCAAGAACAGCAAAGCCATGATGAGTCATATTTATATGCAAGCATCCTCAGGTAGTGTAGATTCTAGTTTGTTCAAATCATGACCCCCAGGGGTAGGGCGGGGCCACAATGGAGGATCAAAGTTTTACATAGAAATATATTGGTAAAATCTTTAAAAATCTTCTTCTCAAGAACAGCAAAGCCATGATGAGTCATATTTATATGGAAGCATTCTCAGGTAGTGTAGATTCAAGTTTGTTCAAATCATGACCCCCGGGGATAGGGCGGGGCCACAATGGAGGATCAAAATTTTACATTGAAATAGATAGGGAAAATCTTTAAAAATCTTCTTCTCAAGAACAGCAAAGCCATGATGAGTCAAGTTTATATGGAAGCATCCTTAGGTAGTGTAGATTCAAATTTGTTCAAATCATGACCCCCAGGGGTAGGGCGGGGCCACACTGGTTGATCAAAGTCTTAAATAGAAATATATAGGAAAATAGCTTCTTCTCAGGAACAGCAAAGCCATCATTAGTCATTTTGATATGCAAGCTTCCTAAGGTAGTGTAGATTCAAGTTTGTTAAATGATGACCCCCGGGGATAGGGTCGGGCAACAATGGTGGATTGAAAATTTTACATAGGAAGATATAGGAAAGTATCTTCTTCTTAAGAACAGAAAAGCTATCTTTAGTCTTATTGATATGGAAGCATCCTCAGGTAATGTAGATTCAAGTTTGTTCAAATGATGACCCCTGGGTTAGGGAGGAGCTGCAATGGGGGATCAAATTTTTACAAAGAAATATATGGGAATATTCTTTTAAAATCTTCTCAAGTACAACAAAGCCATTTGTTACATTGACATGGAAGCATCATCAAGTAGTTTAAATTCAACATCCCCCCCCCCGTTATATTTTTATTACTGAACTGATTTGTGTCTTAGCCTAGCCAATGTGCTCAGGTGAGCGATGTGGCCCATGAGCCTCTTGTATCTCAAGCTCAACGGGATAAATCGTGTCGACATAAGTATGGAAATAACCATTGTTAATTGACAATACGTCGTTGATGTATCTAAATGTCGATTTGAAAGCCACAGCAAGTGTTTTCTTCATTTCACATAATCGTTCACGGTAGCCCAGTCGGTAGAGCGCTCGCTTCGTGATCGGGAGGTCGTAAGTTGGACTCGGCCGCGACTGACCTAAGTCGATAAAAAAAAAAATGGGTAGCAACTGTTCCTTCGCCATGCGCTCGGCACTTTAAAGTGAAAGTTGTGGGTCCTTCGGATAAGACCTTAAAAACCGAGGCCCCGTGTCACGGCAGGCGTTGGCACGATAAAGATCCCTCACTGCTCAATGGCCCTGAGTGCCGAGTAAAGGTAAAAATTTAAAGCCCTTCACCGGTATATGGTGACGTCTCTCTAGGAGTGAAAAATTCTCGAATGGGACGTAAAACAACATACAATCAATCAATCAATCATCATTTCACGTAAAAGATTTTGAACAAATTCTGCGTCATATAAATACAAAAATAGGTCTGCTAATAACGGGACGCAATCGGTACTCATGGGAATTCCAATAGATTGTTGGAAGACCTGGTCTCCAAAAACCACATAGATATTGTCAATCAGAAACTCGAGCATCTTTTTAATGTCAAGTTTAGCGAGAAAACCATTTAAATTACGTACTAAACATTAAACACTTTCTAAAACTTTCCCCAATGTCACTCTCATTTTTGGTACGTACAATGTAATGTTTGACATTGCCAAAATGACTCACTTCGTGCACAATATTTCATTTGTCCTTCTTGCTGAGATCAACATGCAGGAAATAAATTCTCTGTTTTGTTTGGGAGATGTAGAAAGGAGACAATTGAAAAATCCTGCATGACTATTATATTAAATTGAAAATATAATTTATAATCAAATTTGAAAAAACTGTGTTAACTTGAATTTTGAAGATAAAAAAAACTGCATTACTGTTATTAGCAAAAGAGATTATAATTAAAAGGAGTTGTCCAAAGAAAAATTTTTTTCACTGTATATGTTCAAATTTTCCAAGATTTCGCAGACAAAATATTTGATCCTCCTAAAATTATATATTTTTATATAAAAAAAGTTGTTATAGAAGTGATATCGAATAATTAATAAGTTAAGTTATGAAAATTCATTATAAATAATTTATTGCAAGGAATAATACAGAAACTTATGCAATATTTTTTTCAATATTTAATTTTCATCCCCTCCCTGAACAGAAAGAGGTGGAGAATCCAAATCCTTGGAATATATTTATGATGTGAATACTAAAAGCAAAGAAGAAGTACCGAATAGAACTGGAAGGATTTTGTTTTTCTTGCCTTCGAATATGTCTTTCACTCATTGGCAATTTTTTTAATTGCCAATGAGTACATGACTGATCTAATTAGCCATGTACTCATTGGCAATTGAAAAGTGTTAATTAGTGAAAGACAAATAGCATATATAAAATAGAAATAAAATTTACATTGAAAACGATCTCCCAACCATCTACCAACCCTCGCGCACACACTGTCACACACACACACCCTCACACACACACACACACACACACACACACACACTTCCCTAACTCACACAAACGCACAATCTTACCTTTTCTAAAGCCAACTGATTTCGCAAACAACAGAAACTTTTGTTCTCCCTTTGACGTGAAAGGAACGACTGTGGAAGTTTCCGATACCGGTATATTGCTGTAATCTATTTCCTTATTCTCAGTCAAAGGGCCATTGTTATCATAAATCATAGGTTTTGTTAGATTAAATATTTTTTCTGAAATAGACATCATTAAGTCATGTTTTGTACTACGTTTAAAGATAAATTGAAAATACTTTTTAAAAAAAGTCATATCTCGTAGAAATGAGAAAGATTTTATCTTTAAATGAAATGAAATATTATGGAGTTCGATTACTTTAGAATTTGTCCAATTTTCAATGCCCCCCCCCCCAAAAAAAAAAGAACGACAAACGCGTATGTGAGGGTGTGCCTGTGTGTGTATTACCCATTTCTGTAAGATACTTCTTGTCTAAGGTTACACATAAGACGCTCTGTGCATATAAGAGCTGCCCTTGTCCGTAATTGTAGCCTTGTGTCCGTGGAGCTGGAAACCTTGGTACACTTGAAATCAACCAAAATCCATCCTTCTCATCAAAGGCATAAGCACCTATATATATATATATATATATATATATATATATATATATATATATATATATATATATATATATATATATATATATATATATATATATATATATATATATATATATATATATATATAGATAGATAGATAGATAGATAGATAGATATATACGAGGGGTGAACAAAAAGTTCCCGAACTAATTGAATTACTTTTTTAAAAGAAATGAAATTTGCTTTCAGTGTTCATTATTTATTAAAGTAATCTTCGACGACTTAAATTCACATCTGCCACCATTCTGCCCATGCGCGAATCACGTGATACAGGCGGTCACGTGACATGCTCTGTAGCGTTCTGTTCACAGAAGCTTAAAGATTTTTCCGAGACTTATATTTCTTACCTGCAAGTTATTTTTAATAACAAGAACAATCAATTTGTCAGAAATGGCCAAATTTCGGCGATAGTATGAGTGGATAAGGATTTCCCTTCCCAGAATTAGCATGGTCACCATCACAACCCGAGTCCTCAGTCTTTGGAGTTTCATTTATCCACTGTGGATAAAGTATGGGTGCCTTCTTTTTATCATATCTGATATGTTTAAACTCTAAAGTACACAATATTTATGGATTTAATAATTAGATTATTGTTAAGATATTCAACTATTTTTCTAACTGTACCTTTGCGATCTTTCATAACAAATTGCTCATCTAAGGACACATATCTTCACTAGCTATTTTTCACTGGGAAACAGAACAAACATCATTTTTAACCATCTCCCTTTCTTCACTAAAACAATCAATCCAATTAATGATTGAACTTCTGGCAAGTCTTTTGTCTTCATAAACCTTGTACAATGAAATATATGGAGATAACAAACAGTATTCAAGCTCAAAAGTCCATTAAACAATACAAAATAGGAGCAGAGCAAACACGGACCTCCAAACATCAGAGGTGGGATCAGGTGCCATGGAGAAGTGAGCATCCCCTGCCGACCGGTCACACCCGCCGTGTGCTCCTTTGTCATGATCGGGAAATAACGGAAAAATCCGTCGACAATTCAGTGTGTAAATAATGGCCTAACAATTAGCATGAAAAACGTCAGTCAGCATTTGACTCCATGATAAATTGTATTTGCTGACAAGGTCATTGTATCGACCATAGAACTTACGAAATGATGACTTTAAACGAGACAGCTGATATTCTTGTTTCATCAACTTGTTTGTCAATAGTTTATCTCGTTTTAGAAATTGTACATACGTAGAGCATGCTCTTGTTTATCGAATCATCTGAGAGATATATACCCCGTATGCAGATGATGAAGATATATTGCTGCATAAGTAAGGGAAGTTGACGATTGAAAAGTTAAAGTCATCACGTTTATTATAAAGCTTGGTCGTTAGATTACCATTAACGTCTTTTTCAGGTAAAATATCCAAATATGAAACAGATGTGTCAGACTCTGTGGTATCTTTTATCTCAAGCTCATCAGGATATATCGTATCGACATAAGAATGGAAATAGCCATTGTTAATTGACAATACGTCGTCGATATATCTAAAAGTCGTGTTGAAGGCCACAGCAAGTGTTTTCTTCTTTTCACGTAAAAGATTTTGGACAAATTCTGCTTCATATGAATACAAAAAAGGTCTGCTAATAACAGGGCGCAATTAGAACCCATGAGAATTCCAATAGATTGTTGGAAGACCTGGTCTCCAAATACCACATAGACATTGTCAATCAGAAACTCAAGCACCTTTTTAATGTCAACTTCAGAGTACATGTACTTGTGTGTACAATCAGAATGTTTTTAACAAACTAATTTTGCAAATGACCAATGACAAATTATTATTTGCTACTGCAAAGGAATTTCCAAGATACGGGTTAAACTTTTTAGCCATTTGTTGGTCGAGTACGACTGAGTCAATCGTTTTTTGTCACAAGTTACCTATATATTGACGTCATTTTCACATTGTGACGTCACAAACATGGAACAAAACATTACATAACATATGCTATTTATAGAACATGTGAATGCCTATATGTATGCCAAATTTCATTCTGATCTGAATTGTGGTTTTGTAAATATAGAGATAGTTCGCGAACTTTTTGATCACCCCTCGTATAAGGATTACAAACATATACACAATTGCCAGTAGGTTAATTAATATAACCGCAATTAATCGCTTAATCGTATCAAAATGCACATTTACTTGACATTTTTTTAAAGTACTCTCTCTCTCTCTCTCTCATACTTAAAGGAGACATTGGCAATATTCTTTATATGCTTAATCAAAACGCTATATATATTTTATTTTATTTGACAATTTACAAAACTAAGATTTTTCAGACATGATGTCACAGAGTTAATTCTACATCGTCCCCATAATCACTACATCGTCCCCATAATCACTCCATCGTCCCCATAATTACTGCATCGTCCCCATAATCACTACATTATCCTCATAATCACTACATCGTCCCCATAATCACATCATTCTGAATGTGTATCCGGTTAACCGGTTACAAAATTACCATCCCTAATATACTAGTTTTTTTTCGATGAGGATAGTTTAACGAAGCAACACCTTCTGCTCTGTCAAATACAAAAGTGATCAGAAAATGGACAGTTTTTCGTTGTTTTAGGCTTACAAAATAGCCAATAAATATTTATAGATATACTATTATTCAAAGAATCTTCATAAGAAACATTGACTTAAAAATTGGAAGACCTTTCATGTGAGCACCATCATTTCTCGGACAGTAAGGAGATGTTTGGTATATATGCGTCGTATTTCCAGATTTATTATGGAATGGAGGGCAGTCGTTGTACATGGCGTAAACTTGTGCTTTCTGAGAAAACATGTTATGAGAAAATCTTTAAATTACATGTACATCTTTGTTGAACTGCTTATTGCAATGAAAATATTTTTTTTTAATTAAATACATAAGTATTAATAAAATTGGCGGTTTTTTTGTTGTGTTAAGCATACAAAATACCTGATAAATATTTATACTACAGTGCATGGGATTAGAAATTAATATATTATCAAAATGTACATTATATTAGATCCAATTTAGTCCGTCTGTCACACTTCCTTTCTTGAGAACTGTAAGAGATATGGATTCGATATTTTACCCACGTATTGCTTGGGACTTTGGCTTTGGCTAACGACCTCGTGACCGTTGAACTTTGACCTATTTTCCAAATAGTTTATTGTCCCGATAGACAGCATACTTTAGACATTTGAGCTAAGTCTATACTACATTTGTCATAAAACATTATGAAAACTTCCAGCAATCCATTTTACCTTGACCTTTGACCTACTTTGCAAAAATATTGCCGGACAGTTGATTTAACTTGTGTCTTTTGAATTTTGAGAGGCAGGGTTTTGATATAATTAGCATTTGTATCACATGTTTATGAGCTTATGACACTGAACTTTAAAACTGCATCATCCCATACAGTTACCTCACAAACTAAAAGAACTGCCTCCAAGTCAAATTTCAATATTTGAATGAATTTTCATATTTATATAAATATTTATGTGAATTTTCATAAGATATAAATGATTTGGGAAAACAAAGAGAGATAACTCTAAGAGATAATTTTGGTAAAAATTGCGTTTTTCACTATCGAAATCAATTAAAAACGGAAAATATATTTAAACCCCTCCCCTCCATGAAATAAAAATTCCTTTTTACAAGTTTTATGAATTGTTATTTTACAAATTCAAACCAATGCTTTTGTTGTTTCACGGGGGATGGGGGGGGGGGGGTATGTTTACAAACTAAAACAGCAAAAATGTTCATTTTATTACCGATTTCAATTGAGACTAAAAATAAAAATTGTACTTTATCAAACCTTTATGTTGAATTCTGCACAAATTACACATACGAAAAGATTTAAGGGTCATTTATCCATTTTCATGAGTATTTGAAAATCTGGCGAAGCTTTAAAGCCTGATTGCAATGGATAAAATTTTCACCCTCCCCTTTCTGAAAAGAGTCGAAAATAACAAAAAAATAATTTTTTGACACTGGTTTTAAAATTATTAATCAGTAACTAATGAATTCTTTTTTTCGCATTCAAGCAAGTATTAATGGCTAAATTGTCATTTATATTGAATGGATGTAAAATGTAGGCGGGAATCGAGAGTTTGCGTGCGTATTTCTTTAAAATACTATGAAAGTACATCGGGATCGGTATACAAAAGGATCAATGTAGACTGATTTATTATCCATTACTGTTGGGAAATCATATTTCTATCTGATTGTCGGAATTTATATGTTAAATGCTATTCTTTTGGTCTTACTATTCGTAGATGTAGATTTTTTTCTTAGCAGGCAAATGCATAAACTATAATGCTAATGGTAAATAAATTGCTGACCATTTTTATATCTATTTAATTTTAATTGATGCAATAAAGCAGGTGATACATGGCTTGCGTTTCTTAGAACACTCTAGTTTATCAAGTATTTTGAATTATTGTGAAAGATCATCTTACTTCAAATCTTATTTCGATGAAGTCTGTTAAAACATCAACGTCTCTTTTGTGCTCAAATTTTCTGTCAATCGGTCCACTCTAACATTATTTTTGTATAAGCGGTATAGAAAAAGTACGCAAGTGCTTGGTTAAAAGCACACAGAGAGAGAGAGAGAGAGAGAGAGAGAGAGAGTTGGACACATAACGCTTATTAACTTACTCCGTCGTATATTTGCTGAAGAGTATTAAATAAAGGATTATTTTGCTTCTTCTGTATACTGTCTCTTATATAGGAAAAGACAGGATTGAGAGCGTCCAGATAATAAAACTCTTCTCCCGTTGTCTTAATTGGCATTTCCCCCTTAGCTACAGGAACCTTGTAAATTATAAACCTATTAACAGAAGAGTATGCATTTTAGATAAGCAGATATTTGCATCTTCTTAAGATTCAATGTACCTAGCTACATAAAGATAAACAATTATGAATCGCAAACATAAAATACACTTTTTAAGCAATTTTGCAAATATAAAAAAAATGTCCTATGCCTTACCAGTCTACAGGTTTCCCGGAGGGTGACACACAATTCAAACAGAAGCAGAGTGGCACAACCATCGACAATAGTGTGCCCAGCAGTATTAACACATATGTACCAAAACTGAGTCGTACTGGAGAGTTTCCAAAGGCCATGCTAAAACCTGTGTGTTTCATGAATTAACATTTTTTCCTGGAGAAATCAACTTTTTATTGCAATAACACGGAAGCGATTAATGTAAATTATCTGATCACGGATACCAATTTTTGAAATGATAGATCTTTTTGATTTTTAAAAACAATTCCTCTTTATGAGTACTTCAATTTTACCATAAAAACCTCATGAAAGATTAAAAAAAATCGATGGTAATTTTCAAGTGAACCTTGTCAGTTATTTGTTTTAGGGTTCAACAGTATACTATCAGTAATATAACTTGAGAGGTTTATGTACTATTATTTTATGTAACACAGACCTGAAACATGCAAATTACCAAAATTCTCCAGATGGTTTTCTTTGGAAGGAATTAAGACAAGATAAAAAGAAATATCATTTGAAAAAAAAAAACCCACACATTTCAGATTAGCAGATTTTATTTTTTTAAGTTATAGTGTCCCTTAAAAAGTGACAATTTTTTGGAGCATAACTTTCTAAATCTGGATTATACACTAACTATTTCTCTTGACCATGACCCTGACGATATGTCATGATCTTACTGCAAGGTCATAAGATTTTGGCTATGACATTTCGAAATCCTATTGCAAATTGCTAATGTGTTGTTAAGATCTTAATTCAAAGTTATATCTAGAAGGACATTAAACAGGACTAGGAAAATAAAAGATGAAACATCTTTTTCTATATATTTAAAAAAAATCAACATCTTCTCATAAATCTATTTTTTTTTTAAAGTAATACAGTAATAATAAGATATTGAGAGAAATCATTTTTTAAAATTTGATCTTAAGTAGATTATGAATTATCACACTAAAATCAAATATTAATTTCCTAAAAATACAGGAAACGTTACTTCCTTATTTACTAATAGTGTTATGAAATGTAAACAAATTGGAAACCCTATGATGATATTTATAAGGAGTGTGCCAAATTGCCAATTTAAATTGTTCCTAATGCATCGTCCTTTGGTACCTTCAGTTGTTGTTCAATATAACTACATGGTTTGTTATTTGTTTTTGTACTATGCCCTTAGTGGTGTACCATTTGACAATATATTACATATTACTTGTATCGTTATCAAGATAATTTTCAAGGAACTATATCTAGAATAAAAAATAAAGCATACATGTAAATACTGTCTTTTTAAAGTCTCAATTTCATTACATATATATATATATTTCAAGTGTTTTAAAATTACACTATTTTACTAATGTATGTAGTATGTGGTACGGAATGGCAATCGAATGCAAACTGCCAACTGTTAACCGCCTCACCTTACGAGTGGTTAACTGGTTAATCATAAATAAATATCAATTTTCTTTGCATATCGATAGCTTTTATTTTCTTATCACTCTATTCACATACACAGAAAAAGACCAAATAAAGTTTTTTTCTATGATATCAGAGACATTGATAATTTTTCATACAAGATGTCAAAAAATTATTCTGTATTATCATCACCATCAGATACAAATGAAAGACCCTGACCAATTACCCCCAACAATCTCAATCCGGAGATGTATCCCCAAATTGATTTCTAAGATATGTGAAACGCTAGCATTAACATTTAAAATTGAATTTGAAATGAATTTGTTGATGAAATTGAGTTTAGATACTAAGTATATCACGTTTTTTTTTCGAGTAACCGATTACAGATTTTGCAAACAATTGCCATCGTTCTGACCGAGTAATTTAACCCATTCATCGGTTACCGATTGCCATCCCTAGTATTTAGTTATGGTTTTAGATATGAGAGTTTTTGAACTATGAATGATTAGTGTACTAGATTTAAAACCTACATAACACAATGTCTACAGCTTCATATCACCCAGAGAGCAAGATTTTTAGGACGACAATTTTGTAAAATTCGAGACCTTCATCGCCGTTCCCGATTCAGATCTTCAACAAAATCAACTATTCATTTCTTCACTACCCACCATGATCAAATTTATCCTCCAGTATGGTGATGTCATTTTAAAATGCTTCACGGAGACACAAACAGCTTCACAAAGAGACAACACATTCACTTTCAAAGATCCAGGAAAAAAAACAGCACACACATTCCCAATGCCATTATCTTGCGTTGACAGTGAAATGATTATTAAGACAAGTGAAATCAGTCTATAGATATTTTGTACAATTCTGCACAGATTTAATTAGAGCATTAAAGGCCCTCCATACGGAGACACTTGACAAACACATTGTTCCGCCACCTCTCTTGAACTGGGATGTCTGTGAAAGATACCAAAAAAGGGACTCAATAAGTCCTAGCAACAATTCACCGGAATCAATTTACTTGAAGTTAAGTTCTTTTCGTACGTTTGAAGTTAGGTTTTATTAACTCGATCCTCTGTTAGCGAAACGCAGTGATTGAATTTTCTTTTAATGATATCTAATTTTATTCCTCAACCAGGATGTTTATTTTGCCTTATATATCAAATTAAAAGGTGAAACCCTTGCTTTAAAGAATTACCGCTCTGTTAATGTCTCCAACACACACCCACGAATCTTTCGTAGATACAGTCCATTTTGAGTGGTCACTGTTCGACTTAAACACCATGTCACTGGGAAATTTAATCATTTCAATGTTCATAACCTGAAATACATTAATTTAATGATTAAGTGGTTGATTACTTTAAAACTTAAGGTTTCTTTGTCCCAAGCGCGTGACTTTCATTCTAGAATTTGAAAAATAAAAAGCTTGTATATGAATTAATGTGCAAACCTTAAATCTCATATTACAAGTTGAAGGCCAGTTTGCTTCCCATGTGTGCACGTAAAGAGATTCACTCAAATCAGGTGCAACAAGTCCGTCATACAAATCTTTAATAAAATTAGAGTTAACAAATTTTCCTTATATTGTCTAATTTCATGAAAATTGGTCTGTACGTTCTCACCCTTTCCAAAGATGGAAGACTTCGCAAAGAATCGGAAGCTCTGTCCTTTTACTGTTGAAATTGGGAAAACTTTCTGTGGTACCAACGTAACACTCGAGTAATAGCGTCGAGGACGTCGCTTTGGGTCATATATATTTGGATTTGTTATGTTGAAAATGTCTTCTGGAAAAATATAAGTTATACAGACATTAATATAAAACATCAATGTCGCATGAAAGCAAATGTGGGCAAGCAACTCGTGGAAACATTGTAATGTAACAATCTGAAAAAAAGCCATAGGTAATGGTTTCTACCGGGGGTAAATAAAAAAAGACAACAGAATCAATGTTGTAAGTACTTGTTTCCAATCATTTTGATTTATTCAATAAAATGTGTTCAAAACAAAAGCAACAGAATCGATGGCTGACCTTCGAGAGCTCAGATTATTGTTCTTCTAAAGTGTTTCTTTTATAAGATTCAGGAAGTTGTGTATTGTAAGTTTGTTTGTTTGTTTGTTGTTTAACGTCCCTCTCGAGAATTTTTCACTCATATGGAGACGCCACCATTTGCCGGTGGAGAGCTGCAAATTTTGTCCTATACTCGGCACTTATGGCCATTGAGCAGTGAGGGAACTTTTTCGTGCCAGCACCTACTGCGACACGGGACCTCGGTTTATACGGTCTCATCCGAAGGACCGGTCACCACGTCCCACAGTGGGATTCGAACCCGCGACCTAAGGATCAACTGCTTACTTCTCGACTCTAGAGCAGACGCTCTAACCACTGCGTCACGCGGGTGACGTGTATTGTAAGTAGTTTTTAACATTTATTAACCTATTACTGTTAGATACTTTCTGCTGAGGGACACACAGATCATGGCCTGTCCTAATTTTGTTTGTCCTTGTTCATAGTTGTAACCATGTGACAGGGGAGCGGGAAATTGCGGAACACTTGATATCAACCAGAATCCTTGTTTCTCATCAAATGCATACATGCCTGTACGGATAAAAAATACATTGTAAATTTGTATCTTTCGAGCTAGTAGAAGGCACAAACAACTCAGATTACTAGCAAATGTTTTATATAGACTAGTACGTTCTTGTATTTAATATACCTTTGGTATGTCCATATGCTTTAAATGTTTCCTCAATCCTCTCATTTCGTGGTGGTGGTTGATCATTGTACATAGCATACTTAAATTTGTGTGGTCCATTCTAATATAAGTGACAAATGTTTATACTGGAACAAACAATTGATATATTTTCGGGTGAAAGACAAAAAGTTCTTTAAACATTTGATGCATCCTTTGAACAATACCGTATTAAAATTACATGTCCTCAAGTGAAAAATTCCACATCTTGTCTTTAAAAATGGCATTTTTTAAAATGTCTTTCTATGATCAAATAAAGCTATCATCCATTATTGCACGTCTTGAAAATATGTTTTTTTTCTGCATATTCAGCATCGAAATTATTTTTTAATATAGTGGTGATTAAAGTTTACTCGGCAGAAAACGCCATTTACGCAATTTTTTCTCACTATCAAAACCAAGTAGACCTTACATTTGAAAAAAAAAAAATGTGTTAATTTTTTCATCAGCTATTTTTACTACTTATTTAGTACATTGAATACACGCGCATTTTGAATATACTAGTATCTTTGTTTAAAAAAAAAGTCCGCATGCACCAAAATATATATTCAAAGCTTCCATGCTACGAGTATTTCTTCCGAAACTTTGTTTAGGTACAGAGTGTGATTTGCAGTGTTTATATTGGTGGTGGTAATTATACCTGGTTATAAACTTGTTGCAGGGTGTTGTACAACGCATGCCCCTTCTTTTGAATGTTAGCACCGGACAAGGAAAAAGAAGGGTTTTTAGAGTCCATGTAGTAAAATCCAACTCCATCCTTGATTAGAGGATTACCACTAGATTTTTTCTTGGGCAACTTGTAAATAATGAACCTGGAAGAAGGAAGATTTATTTATTGTTGTTTAATTAATTGATGAAACAAATGGATATTTACAAATCTGTTATCTGCATCTCAGTATCTGTACTACAGAATTTGAAAGTCGTGTTGTTCATAACTTGTTTTCTGCGCATGCGTAAAGAACCATTGGTATTGGTGTTGCATATACATGTAGGTAATAATTTACTGTGACTGGTTTGTATACAGTATGAACTATCATTATTGACTACATTTACACAGAATAAAAATAGATTTAAATATTAATTTGCTTAAAATATTTGATGATACATTACCAGTCAACGGGTTCTCCCGACTCTTTTAAACATCCCAGACACCAGGTTAGACCAACAAGAACCGAAGAGGTAAAAACAAATCGGATCATCGCCAGAAAGAATCTTCGTCAAAATGTACCTTTTCTCTATTGTATAGTTACTTTAGGGGGTTCAAACTCGAACGAAATCGTACGCTGTTTCTTTATAGGAAGACATTGAATCACATTGCGGAAGTTTATGTTAATGATGTCTGATAACGTATTTTGTCTGACTCATTGATAAAAAGAGGAACTCTATACGAAGAGGAAGAAAATTCCTAAAAGCTAATATAAACAAAACCACTTGAACCACATGCTATTTACCGTAGGGAGGGACAATTCATTCATATTTATTTGTATCGTCTATAGTCGTGACTTTGTTTGGCGTCCAGAGCTTCACCTGTTTTTGGAGTGTTTTTAAACCTTTCGAATATTTCCTCTATCGTATTACTAGCATATTATAATACAAGCTACTAACCTAAGGGGTGTTAAGAAAGTTCATTCAATAATGAAATATTTTGAAAATTTCAAAGTAATGTTTAACTGAAGGGATTTAATTTTCCAGTCTGACAAAATCACAAAATTGTGCTTTCGATTTATAGTAATTAATTTCTAGCAGGAATTTATAGAATTTTTTCCAAATGAAAATATGTATAAGCATCTTTAAAACACCCAAATGACAGAACTGCTGGTCATTTTGTGTAAAAATGTAGGATTCTTCACAGATCGTTTGATTATTGTGCAAAATAAAAAAAAAACGTGATTTATATTCGAAAAGTCGTTATTTATATTCGCAAACTCGTGATTCATATTCCAAATCTTGTGATTTATATTTGAAAAGTTCATACTCATATTCGAAAACTTGTATTGGAATAAGTAAATAATTATGACTTATATTTGATATTCTCGTTTCTCTTGTTATAATCATACATAATACTAGTATTTATCTATTTGCTATAAAGAAAGTGTAGACTAAAACAAATATTTTTGTTTTGATATGTAATGGAAAACTTGAAAATGGAACATATAGCAGTGTGCTACTTTTCGAACATAAATCAATATACTTTTTGTAACATATAGCATTATGCTGCTGTTAGAACATAAAGCAGTTTGCTTTTTTGGACACATAGAAGTATGCTTTTTTTGAACGTATAGCATTATGCTTTTTTTTGAGCACAAAGCTACGATGGGAAAATATAGTAGTGTACTAGTTCGTACATGTAACAGTATACTGTTTTTAACGCATGTCTGATTAAAACAGACCCTCACTAACTTCTTTTTTATTTTGATTACCGCGATTCACGCGACAATCAAAATATTCAGTAAAAATGAGCTAGTAAAATATATTTTTTAAGAGCAGCGTGCTGTTTTTAGCATGGACTATTTTCAAACATGTAGCAGAATACTATTTATTGAATGGATTGCAGTATGCTACTTTTGGAACATTTGGCAGTTTGCCAATTTTGGAACATTTAGCATTGTGCAATTTTTGTACAAATAGCAGTATACTTTTTTGAATGCATAGTAATATGCTATTTTTGAACACAAGCAGTATGCTTTTTTGGACCAGAATGCAGTATGCTATTTTTGGAACACATAGCAGTATACATTTTTTAATGTTTTACAGTATCTCTCAGCATACATATAGCAGCATATTCGTTTTGGAAGATAAAGCACGATAAGTTGAAAACTGAGGAATCTTAAATCAGGAAAATGTCATATAGTGTAAGAATGTAAAACATAGAGCCTTGGAACTTGTCATTTGAAAAGGAAAAAAAAATACAGTTAGGGTTATAATGAACTATCACAACAGCGGTGTCCTTTGAAACCAATTTATTCAGAATTGAAAGCATTTTCCTCCGATCCGATATACTAGAAATACCAGCAATATAAGCTCTGCAGATAATCATGAAGATCAAATAGTAATTCAAATCCATGTCTTGCATGGAAACGTTATAAAAACATTAACAGACATAAAAATACATATATAAAAACATATCGTATTTTTTTCATCGAAAGAAGCTGAAACATAACACAGTGATTTCAAGTTAACATTTGTCAGCAGAGTTTATGATGCTATGAAACGCCTTCCAAGCCGTGTAGTTGACCATACACAACGCTCCTCCCCCTCTCTTGAGGGCTGAAGTCTATAAATCAGAAAAGAACGTATATTTCAGAGTATATTTAAAAAAAAACTTACCGAGAAAATAAAAATAAAACGAAATCAAACGAAGAAGAGGATATGAAATAGGTATTCCCTTTCTTTGATCTACAATAACTATTTCAGACTTCCCACTGCTATATCTTGGATTTTTGAAACTATATTCGTAAAGAGAATGAAGAGAGAACTTGTTTACCACTCAGTCAAGGTCTCCAACACACACCCATCTCCTCAACTTCTCGGACACTGCCCACTTGGCGTGATCTCTTTTACCAGACAAGTAGATACTGGTATCCGGGAACTTTATTTTGGATACATTCATCACCTATTCATACGTACACAATAAAGATAATTCAGAAACTATATTCAAGTACATGTAATTAGGAAAACTGTATTATATGAACAAATACGATCAAAAATTTCTTCTTCTAATGTTTATGGTTTAGTTCTAGTCATTTAAATAGGAACCGAAAACAAAATTGCATTACTTGTATTCTCTCTAACCAACGAAATTATAGCTAGGGAAATTAAGTAGGGAATTTCATCCCTCCCCCACTCCTTTTTTGGGGATAAGATGTGGTTGTCAGAATATTCATATTTTTAGAACTGAAATAATTCATGTAATGCAAGTATATCACCAAAAGTTGTATATTTTGTTCATGTAAATACAATTAATGAGTGCATACACGTGGAACACACACAGAGTCACAAACATACAAAACACACAAACACACACACAAAGATCATGTAAGATTGAATCAACCTTATACTCTGAAGAGCAGGAAGATGGGATCCCAGAGTCTGTCTGAAAGGACTGGACCAAGACACTGTTTGATAGTCTCGGAGCAACCAAAGAATCATACAGGTCTAGAACCCCCCCCCCCCCACAAAATTATCAGAACAAATCTATTAAACGCACTATTATCCATCTGTCATTACTTCCTGATTATCTAACGCGTGATAAGGAAATTCTGAATAGTTTTTTTTTTTTAAATTTTCTAACCTTTCTCATATAATGAGCCTTTGGCTAAACACTTCAGTTCCATGTTTTCGTGGGTATATATGCGTAATACCAAAGACTTGTTTGAGGGTTGAAGTGGTGGCATTCGCGCTTCATGTCTTTTTGCATCGTGAATTTGAGGTCTTATTATTTTGAATATTTTATCTGCAAAATATGTCGACAGTCTTATAATATCAACAAAAAAAAAAATTTTTTTTCAATAGGGTGTCCCTTAGAATAAGGAGAACAATGCCAAGACTTAAATCACAGAATAAAATTACTCACAGACGTTCACCAGCTCCTGAGTATTTAAAGTGACACAGACAAGCATGTGACCGTTCCGCTGCGCTTCTTTGTTAAATGCATATCCCTTATTTTTGTGTGGGGGAAACCCGGGAATACTGGAGATCAACCAAAATCCTGTCTGCTTATCAAATGCATATACACCTATAATGGATAGTTGATTTCATCTTAGATTTTCACAACTATTTCAGATATGTTTAAAAAAAACAGCAAAAACATTGTTTGATTGATTGTATGCTGTTTAACGTCCCATTCGAACCGCAAAAAGAAAGACAAAAGCTTCATCTTGTATGGCATATGTTTACCTTTGGTTTGACCAAACTCATTTTTCTCTTTCCAAGTTTTGTTGGAACTCCTCGGTGGTTCGTCATTATACATGCCATATTCCAACATGAAGTACTGAAGAAAGAAACTAAAAATATACTAGAGATGGTAGTTTTACAAGAGTGGATAATATAATTTTACCTGGAAGCCCATTTATACTTACTTAAAGATAAGGACCAATTGTTCTTGCATTTTACGCGTACATATTGTCATGGCTATTCAATCTAGAGCACATTTCATTTTTCTACTTTATCGAAGTTTCAATCTGCCACTATGATTTAAAAAACTTTTTTAAAAAAGTGTTTATAAAGAATGTAATAAAAACGAGCATTTTTAGAGACAATATGCTTTTAAGAGATAAGAAAGATTGCATACATTCAGATAGATCTGTTGGAGTGTGTTGTAAAGGGCATGTCCATCCTTGTCTATCGGGGTGGGAGAAAGGGTCATTACAGGTCGATGGGAGTCCATATAATAGAAGGCCACGCCCTCAGATATCATCTTGTTTTTGTCTTGGGGATCCTGGGGAGTTTTGTAAACAATAAACCTAAAACGGCCAGGACCCAACATTATAATCAAATATTATGAAACGAAATACAAGTACATGTAGTATTCATTGTCTACCAAACATATAATTTGGTCTGTGTTCACAGTAGGTTAAAACTGAAATTAACTTAAATGTCTATTTTCAAAATTAGGAAAGAAAAAAAAGGAATTCTCTGATGAGACTGAAGCTCTACTGGTCTGAGCCTATATCCGATACTTGCAACAAAAACACTATTTAAAAAGTTCCAAAACTAGTAATGTTTCTTATCTTTCTTGACTTGAGGTGGATTACTTTTAATGAAATCCGAGGAAAATGTATGAGGAATAGCATTTTGATGAAAAATTATTTTCAAATAAGGATACTGAAAGTCACCTTTCCAATGCATTAAGGTAATTTCAAAAGTTATCATCTCGTATATAAAATTTTTAAAGTTTAGGAATATTCTTTAGGAAAGACACTTAAGAAAATATGTAAGAAGTTATATATACCAGTCCACAGGTTAGCGGTCAATACCCTGGCAAGTTATTCCATTAGTGTACCCCTCTCCATGGGCTGTAACCAAAAACGTCATCCACAAAGTCCATGACGTAAATCCAAATAGGAGAAGCATTGTTAAGTGAAGATCAAGTCGATGTTCTTCAAATAGAATATAAGCTGGCGATCAAATGTAATGAGGTTGCATGAAAATTAAAAAAAATGTTGCATAATTTAACTAATCTTCACAGAAAAAAAAGGAAACTTGACGATGAGCCGGAAAAAAAGACACTTCACACCGCATGCAAATAAGCCATCGAAAATCAGGAACTCTAAACACAACAGCTTCGTTCAAAAAATAATTTCAAAATTAATAATCGCACTTAATTACAATTGATTTTAATTCATAAACAAACTAAAATAACATAATTAGCATACGAATGAGAATTTTAAAGGGGGGGGGGGGGTCCGAACATCTGCAGCAATACTTTAAAAAAGAATTAAGACACACAAACAAAATTTAGAACATATTACATTCTTAACAGGTCCTTCGGATGAGACCGTATAAACCGAGGTCCCGTATCACAGTAGGTGCTTGCACGAAAAAGATCCCTCACTGCTCAATGGCCGTAAGTGCCGAGTATAGGACAAAATTTGCAGCTCTCCACCGGCACGTGGTGGCGTCTCCATATGAGTGAAAAATTCTCGAGAGGGACGTTAAACAAAATACAATCAATCAATCAATCATTCTTAACAAGACAAATAGAATTGAAGCAATGGGTCAAATGAAGTGAGCGCACAGTAAAAACATAGTGTTTGGACCCCCCACCCCTTGGGTGTTTTCCCTGATTGTTCATATTCTAAATACAAAATTAAGGGCAATGTGTTGTTTTCACTGTTAACGAGGGTTATAGTAAATGATTCAAAGGTAAATCCCTGTTCTCAGCATGAATATGCATGTACGTATTAGCATTTTATTATCTTTTCTTGAATTTACAAGTAAGGCAATGTTTTTTTTTTTATATTTGACTTTTCAAATGTTTTCAACTCAGGAGACAAAAGTAGTGTTTTCAACTGGTTCTTTGTGTTAACTTACCTATTAAGTTTACTTAAGAAATAAGTTTTTTCACCCATCCACCCTGAAAAAAGGCATATTGCTTTGCAGCTGTCGGTTGGTACGTCGGTATGTAGACCAAGTGTTCTCCGCTCAATATCTAGGAAACCCTTTGCTTGAGAGATATTAAACTTGGTATACTGGTAACCCCTGAGATGCAGATGGCCCCTATCGATTTTGAGGTCATAAGGTCAAAGGTCAAAATTCTCTAGACATAGAAAAACTTGTCCGTTTAATATCTTGAGAAGCATTTGCTAGACAAACATCAAACTTAGTACCCTGGTTTCCAGTGAGATAACATTGTAGATTTTGAGGTCAAAAGGTCAAACTGGACATCGGAATACATTGACTGTTCAATATCTTGACAATCATTTGCTTGAAAGACATCAAACAATACACAACTTTCTTATAAGGAGTAGATGACTCCTAGATTTTGAGGTCAGGAAGTAAAGGTCAAGGGTCAAACTGGACATAAGAAGATACTGACCGCTCATTATCTTAAGAACCCTTTGCTTGAAAGATATAAAATTAAGTACACTGATTCCCCATATGATATAAATCTATGGCCCCTATTGATTTTTATGTCACAAGATCAAAGGTCAAGAGTTAAACTAGACATAGCAAGATAATAATTGCTTAATATCTTGAGAACCCTGTCCTTGACCGACATCAAACTTGATACACTGGTTACCCCTGTTGATTTTGTAATAAAGTCATAGGTCGAGATCAAATGACAAAGACACTAGACATAGGAAGACATTGTGAGCTCAGTATTTTGAGAACCGATTGTTTTACAGACATCAATTTTAGTACATTGGTACCCTCTAAGAAGTACATGTACATTACCCCTGATGATATTGAGGTGTGATAGAGATCAAGCTTATCTTTACCCTTGACTAGTGGATGAATGTTTTTAATATATACCATTACAGACATTCTAAATTTAAGGTTGTTTAAGGAATCACCGATTCCTTATATTTCCATTTCACTGTGAAATAAAATTGTAAATTTAGATTTTAAAAATGTAGACTAATAGATTTATGCCCTGTTTACACGGAGAGTTTAATTCGCAGTAAATTAACGCGAAGTAAACTAATGCGAATGAAACTAATGCGAATTAAATTGCGTTCACACGACAGCTAATGCAAAGTAATCTAATGCGAATTAAATTTTTATTTCTACAATAAGGCTATTCAGTAAGACTATTATGACGTCATTTTGCGAATCACGTCACATTGTGCCGAGCAGATACATTTGACCACTGATTTGACATAATGTCACAGTGTCTGTACACATTTTAGTGATTATCATAATTTTCCTTTGTTTTCCACTCAAAAATAGCACAAGTACCTATATCTGACCATCGACATGTGGCCTGTGACTTAATGCTGCCCTTACGCATGCCTCAAAATTTAATTCGAATTAGCTTCGCTTAGCGTTCACACGGAGCTAATGCGAAGTAATTTAATGCGCAGTAAATTAATTCGAATTAAACTAATTCGCATTAAATTCTCCGTGTGAACGCGATTCAAATTTTATTCGCAGTAACTTACGTTTAATTCGAATTAAACTCTCCGTGTGAACAGGGCATAAAATTACATGAGGCCTCACATGTCAATTTCAATAGTCCCCGCTGACGTCACACAAAGACAGCCGCACGAGAATTACATGCCTATTAGGCCTTCTTAGCTCCTGACCTTTCGCTTGGCAAAATTTACATTCCGGTAGAATGATCAAGAAATCAACTCAACTTACTTTCAAAAAGTTATCACAGAGAAAAGAAATAGAAATGGAAATATTTCCTTTTAAATATTGCCACGAGGGGGCATATACCACCGATTTAAAGTTATACACACTATAATACTTGCGTCAGTTAAGAATAAAGTTGGAAATTTATTTATGTTTACCAATTAAAGTTACGAAAAATACTGTAAATTACACAATTGAAAACGAACGCGTTATAAAGATGTCAAATTAGAATTATTTATTTTCCTACTAGGAAAGTAATGCCTCTTTTTAAATAAATGCATCTCGTGACACCGTCGCTACTTTCAGACTGATACTGATACATCAATATTCATGAAAAAACTGAATTTTTGATTGTAGATCTTGCTTAATTGTTTTGTTATTACAATTACTTATTTAGTAAAACTTTGTGCAAAGTATTTTTTTTTCACTATACATCATGTTTCTCAAACCATTTAATCATTTTGTTTCACATAAAAAATCGGCGTTTATATAGCGTATATTTCTTATTAACGCGAATGGCTAGAGACATAACCGAAGCACTAATTACATTTGTGAAACAACCGCGAATAATGAATTTATTCTTTGATTATTTATTATAAACTGTATACAATAACAAAACATATAAAGATACATGGAAAGATACATGATTTTTAAATAAAAATAATGCCAGATGTTTTCATGTATTAATGCAACATACGGAGTTTTTTGGTTTATGACTACAGATCTTCAATTTCAATTCCCTGAATTAGCACTTTAAGATTTCAGGTATAAAATGAAGGGATTTTTTGCGAATGATTGTCATATATACAAAATGAAAAACAACTTAACTTCCATTTCTTAATAAAAATGACATATACATAAAGAAGATAAACTTTTTATACAGAAATAATAAGACAGATTTTCAAAATTGATGTGTCAGGTTTATCCAAATATTGGTCCACAGGTCTCGATGTCTCGAATGATGTTTGTGTACTGCTTCCATGTGTGAGGGTCAGACATACACGTGGTACTTCCGCCACGATGAAACTGTGTAAGCTGTTAGGAAAAAAAAAATTATTACTGATTAATAAAAAAAAGGTTTAGTTTCTGTGGCACAGAAAACCTGAATCAAAATATTTTCTGTAACAATAGTATCAGATTCCCTTTAAAAGTATTGGAAGTAGCCACTTGAATTTAAAACAAATAAAGAAACACACCCCGGTTAGTAAAATAGTTGATTAAATACAGAAAAAGTAAAAAAAAAAAAAACAAAAAAACAACAAAAAAAAAAAAAAAACAAAACAAAAACAAGAAAAGGGTCCCCCATTACGACTGAATAGCATATTGGGAGAGCTAACTCTTCCTTTTCAAATATACATGTATTATCTACTGGTGATCTTTCATTTGAAAGTTTGTCCATGACAATCTCAAGGTACAGTTGGAAAAGTTTAATATTAATATGAAAAAAACGTAATGAACAATCATCAAAATTGATATAATACGAAATTGTTATTGCATTTGAAAAGAGAAATTAGCTAATTGAACTTCAATTCTTAGCATAGACAATCCCTGGGGGTAAATAAATATTTTTCTTTAGTCTATTTTTTTCATTTGGTCACCAATTCAAATTTTCAATATCTACCTGTCTGTTAATGTCTCCAATACAAATCCAGGAACCAGTCCTGGACACCGCCCACTTAGAATGATCTTTGGTCTCTTTAAAATCTCCGTTTGGAAATCGGATCTTTTGAATGTTGTAAACCTACAAAGAGGAAAATACACGTCTTTTTCAACGTAAAACTGTCATTCAAGTATCTAATGACAAAACAAGCAAAAATGTTGTATACAAGAATTTTGTTACATATCATAAATTAAAAATGACAGAAGAAAGACATGCAAAGCAAAATATGAAATTAATATAAAAGTAATATAATAATTATATTTACAGAGATGTGCGTATTTTTCAGATGTTAGTATAGTGTTAATAAAGCATAAAGAAATTAAATAAGTGCATTCTGTAGAGCATATTAACAAGCAATTATACACTGTAACCTTATAACGTTCCGTGCAATTAGACTCTAATGGACCACGGCCATTTTGCCAAGTTTCTACGAACAAGTCATGATTTATCCTTTCATTGATCCATGCATCGTACAGATCTGAAATGATTACAGGTGTTGTGATTTTCATATTTCAATCATTCCAGGTCATTCACGGAAGTCCACTAAAGATGCCATAGTGGGTCAACAATAGTTTTTTCGCGTTCGAAATATTACAAATTCTATCAAAAAGTTAAAACAAAGAGATTGTGAACAAGCGTTTGACCATTATAACGAATTTCAAAGCAGTCTGACCCCAAAAAAAAAAAAAAAAAAAAAAAAAAAAGGAAAAAAATGTAGAACATAAATTCATGATGTACATCACGAAGATAGATCCAGGAATTTCTATGAGGAGATCAGTATCCAATCAAATCCTACGTATATTTTTTTTTAAATAAGGAAATAAAAAAGAATTGGTGAAAATCAAACATTATGTTATGGATGGGGGTTAAACATATCAAATATTTTTAGACACTTAATAAATACAGAATTGGGAAGTCTATACCTCCCCCTTCCCCCTCTCTTTTTCCTGACCCCTGTGTTTGATCTGAGCTGCAATATTCACTGATAACATTTCAATAGACATAAGTAGAAAAAAGGGTCAACTGGTCAACTGATAGCGAAACGGTAATTCTAAGTAGATAATTCTAAATATTGCCTTAATATTATTAAATGTTCTTAGAGTTTAGACAGTTAAATCGTTTAAAATCTCAGCAGCTAATAAATACACAACATAATAATATATGCTTTCAAATAGCAATAAATCATGCAATGCAAGCAAATTCTCTAAAAGCAAAAAATAAACTTAGTAGGTAAAAATGTCTTCAAATCCAAAATACGTGATTAAAGGTGAGTTATGAAGAAGAAAACTATTAAAAATGAGTATATCATCAAGGTGTAACTAGACATGCAACAAAGGTTTTGCTAGTAAAGAATGCCGTCTACACTGGATGTTTCAGATACCTGAAACTTGAGAGAACAATTTGAAGGTAATTCGTCCGCTTTGGGTCCATTTTGCCAAGTTTCAACAAATAAGGATTCTTGTAAATTTGGAGCCAAAAACGCATCATATAAATCTGAAAATAGCAATTCTCTTCTGTCTACAAATGCCACACTTCAAATACGGAATATCATATTTCTACAAATGCCACACCTCAAATACGAAATCTCGTATGTCTACAAATGACACACTACAAATACGAAATCTCATATGTCTAGAATTGCCAAACTAGTACTTCAAATACAAAAGTAAAGAAAGCGTTACTAGAAAGTTTTTTCCCATTATAAGCAGTTTTTTTAAAATGAAAACAGACAATAATTCTTTAAATTTCCATGGAAATTTTGATTTAACTAATAAAGTAATAAGTGAAGACAGACAGAAAGAAGTGTTGCCAATTAATTCCATTTTCGGAACACCTTTAAAATCTGTGGATTACTTATTTTTGTTTTGAATGTACAATTTCTGACCAATAATTATTTTTGGATTGTTTTACCACAAACTTGACATTCAATTCACATTCAACTTTATTAAAGTGCTAGTTCTTGCTTTTGTTTAAATAAATTTGTCATTGATACCTCTTTTGTCAGGTATCATAGGCTTTTTCACCTATTTCTTTATAAGACTCCAAAATAACACAACACACAAGCTTTTTAAGCAACACAGTTTTGAGAATAAAACCTGTAGTTTTATCCGTATAAAATTTCTGTCCATAAATTTCATAGAAGAACCATATTTCTTAAATTCTTTAATCAAAGCCACCTTCCCTTTTCCAGCTTTGTTATCTTTGGTAAAATCTATCTTTAAACACTGGAAATGCCACAAATATAGTGATTCAATAATGACATGAACTATAATATTAACTGCACTTTACCAAATACTCATGTATATCAATTTGAAATTTTAAATATTGTTTATTATTTTAAAACATCATGCCTTACCTTTTTCAAAATCATTTGACTTGGCAAAGTTGTGTAGCACCACACCATCTGTGGTATGGAGTGTAGTTTCAAGTTGAAATGGAGGGGATGTCACGTGTTTCTGGCTCCCTGACAGAACCCCCGTCATGATGGGGTTCTCAGAGGAGAAAGAGGGAGGCAAGTAGTGGTCATAAAACTTGGGGTAGGTGAAGGTCATTATCTTGGCTGAAAACAAGATAAAAATATAAATATTTCATCAAGTCATCATTCAACTCAATAAGAATGAATTTCTGATGAATGAATTCAAGTTTTTCTTTTTAATCTTCTAGGGATTTTTTTTTTTTGAAATAGATTATTTCAAAGATAGTGTCATTATCTATTTTAAAGGAGCAATACTTCTCTTTGTTGTGAATTCCTCAACAAGATGATAATAAAATATGTATAATGTATATAACATAATCAATGAAATATCAAGAATACAACAATTTATTAATTCTTGTTATTCAGACATCTTGGCCCCCCCCCCCCCCAAAAAAAAAAACAAACAAACAAACAAAAAATAGATAACCTCATTTTTTCTTCTACTGTGTTAGAGCTAAGTTTAATTAAAAAAACCTTACCAACACTCTCAATAGCAGAATATTGAAGACTAACACAGAATATAGACTGTCCATACACTTCGCCACTGTCTGGGTACGAAAACCCAAAACTTCTAGGGGGCGGGAAATGAGGGATACTCATAATCAACCAGAAACCCTCAGATTTATCAAAAGCAAAGACCCCTGAAAGAAAATAATTAACATGAGTAAATAATAATAATATTATTCAAGATATAAAATTAAATATTGAGAAGTTGAATCAAGAAAGACAACCAGAGATTGGTACCTTTTGTGTGTCCATGATTTAGAGATGTACGTCCCTGCGGGGGCTGATCGTTGTACATAGAATACATGTATTCACTCGTAGTCTGTCAAATACAAAACATTAAATTTTTATTAAATCAGAAGAATTATATTTTTATTCTTTCATATAATCCAAAATTGCAATTTCTAAATCACTGTTGCATTCAAATGGATATCATCATAAAACCACAGCTGATAATGTTTCTTTCATTGCCCACATGGTAAATAAATTGTGTCAAGTAGCCATAGATTTCTAATGACAACAAAATGGATAAATGTATATGATTCCATATATTTTTTTTTTTTTGTAAATGACAATCTTTTTTCTCTCATGACAGCAGGGAACCTGAATATGTAAGGCCATCATTAAACTTTTTTGTTTGTTTGATGTACTCCAACCCATATTTTTCAAGGTGGGTAGGTGGGTTGATTTTTTTATTTTTTGAATTATCTAAAACAATGATAAATGTTATGAAAATCACAGATTTGCACATTTATTCCTCTAAGATTCTTACCTACACTTCATAGTTAAGATGTTTGTAAAATGCAGCAAAACAAAAAATTTTTTAAAAAAATATGGAATCTAATGTTAAAAAGCAAGTCAGATGATCTTTATTTTCTTAGAAATGAAAATTCAAAAATAAAAGTACTGAAAAAATATTGATTGGGTAGGGGCAATTTTGATGGGTACATCAAACAAATTATTTTTTACTGTTGGCTTAACTCACATTCTTGTAGATTTGTCTCAGTGTGTACTCCACGGAGTGTCCAGTTTGGTTGAATGGGACAGATGACAACTTCCAGCTTGGAGAATTGGAGTCCATGTAGTAGAATCCGACACCATAATAAGACCATTTGTCTATTCCCACTTCATGGATTTCTGGAAGCTTGTAAACAGTGAACCTACAGGAATTATACAGTGAACTTCATGTACTCAATGGAAATCGAATCAAAATATACAGAGTACCCAAACTTGTATCACAGTTGTACATGTATGTAGCATAAATCTCTTTATGGTGAAGTGAGAGGAAACAATTTAGAATGTTTTTCCTTCAGTTCATGATTTTGTTTTGGCCTGAATAAGGAACATGTCTTTGTTTGTAAAGATACAGGTTACATGGAAAGTTAGAAATAGACAACAAAATAGACCATATCTTGAATAATTTTCATGTCAATCCTTTATCAAGATATACATTGAAGAAGAATGGAAAATCTACCATACATGTAGATACAAATTATTATTTGATATGAAGTAACACACGAGATTCACGTTGTTACAATATATAGAATTTAGGTTAGTCTTATCTCTCGTGTGATGAGGGCACTGTACTTTCAAGGATTTCATTACAGTCTTGTCATCATGTGACTTCCCCATTTTAAGTACAAAAATAAATTATGATTAATGTGAACTTTCCTGTTTGGTTTCCAAAACCTTTCGAAATCCGAGTGGGTGCTTCAAAATATTGTTACTGAACTGCATGAATTTATGTGTGACAGAATAGAATACAAAACAATAATGCAATACACTGTCCGCATTATGTCATAGTCATGTGTAGATTACACTGTTGATGTTTTGTTTTTTTTTTAAATTTGGGAACATCTACATGGAGGTTATATGTTAGCATTAACATCATTTTACAGCGCTGAATGAATGTCAGTTTAATAAATTGTGTCACTGCAGTTATCAGCCACAGATTTCAACATGAAATATATGGTAGTCTGCAAATTCAATTTTGACAAAGTTGAAAATATCTTGTCCCTCTGTTTCTGAACACGTGCAATACTATGGAAAATCTTCTAATATTCAAGATTAAAACGTTGTCCTTTTTTTTTTTTTTTTTTTTTTTTTTTTTTACACATTTATGCAAAAGATTATATGTGGAAACTGTTAAAATGATGGTTAATTCATAAATATTAAATTTAAATCTGAAGATAGACTATTTTTTAAAAAAAAAAAGACATATTATGAGATATTGACATTATTCTGAGTGAGCATCGATTTATTAAACTCCTTAGCAATCATCACTGATCATTATAATGAAATCAAAGCTATTATTATTAAAAATAATTTAAATGTAAACCTTAAGATTTTATAAAAATACTTTTAAAAAATCCCCAAGGAAACCAGCGTCAGACTAAGAAATTTCAAGGAAGTGTTTATATTCTCAACCTTAAGTTGTCGAATATCAAATCAAGGACTTTTTTGTTTCCTGGTCTGGCTTTCAGCAAAGTCCGATTTTAATTTTTAAATGTTATTTCCGACGATAACAAAAAAGCATATATGCAAAAATATATACTAAATAAGTTATGGTTTTCCTTACCAATCAACAGGTTCCCCGGTGTGGGACTTACACTTAAGACTCCCGCAGACATTGACAAAAACTATTAGCACGCAAACGATCACATCTCGCACCATTTCAGTTGCTTATCTTGAATGGCGTGACCTCCCTTTTCTACTTTCATTTTCGTTCGACCAGGTGGGCGCGGATCTAAAAATATGAAAAAAAATATATATACTCGTATTATTTTTTTCAGTACGCAACCTCTTGCGTCTGTGATTTTGTATAATTTGTGTAGTTAGAATAATCTAGAATTGTGTCTCAGGAAAGGCCCTCGCTATGTACAGTGAAACGGGGTCTGAAGAACATATATTCCATCTAGTGTGCAATAATTTGGTATTATTAGAAGCGGATCCAGAGTCTTCAAAAAATAAGTGTAGGTGGTTATCTGAGTTTTCCAGGCTTTTTTCACACGTTCCAGGAAAACTGAAAAAATAGTCCAAAATAACTGACGTTTTCCAGTCCTGTTCACAATTTTGACATCCTGGTACGACCGAAATAGCAACATATCTAGAAAAGAGCCTGGAAAATGCCAGATATTTCGGACTATTTTTGCAGTGTTCCTGGCAAGTCATATACATGTATCAAAGTCGGGAAAAATTCCTGAAAAACGGATTTAGAATAGAATAGAATAGGATTTATTACCAAATAAGGACCCAATGGGCATAAGAGAAACTTTTTTACTATTTGTAACCATATTAACTGATAAACGAATTCCATGGTTATTCACTGTTTTATTCTTTCTTTTTTAACAGCGTGAATTTTATTTGGTTATACGTATACATGTTCTAAAAATTGTGTTTTTTCGTTATTCGATGCACCGAAAGAAAAGCATCTTCGAAGATGAAAGAAAAAAGGGGAAGTGAACTTTGGGTAAAACATGTACATGTCTGCTACAGTTGCATTGTAATTTATTGAGTATATATATATACACAGTAAGCTTTTGTCACATATATATATATATATATATATATATATATATATATATATATATATATATATATATATATATATATATATATATATATATATATATATATATGACCAACGACACGAACAATAGAAATTGTCAAATGCCCCTTCCTCAGGACATAGAAAAAGTTAAAAAGTGGTCCGGATTCATTCATTTCATATTTATTAGTTTTCAACATCAAAAATCAAAATGTAATTGTGTAAATAAATAGGGTTTGGTAGCGTAGTTGTAGTGCTAATTTTTTTTGGTTTTTATTTGTTTTGTTCTTTCATGACTTTTTAGTCTTTTCTATGTCCTGAAGAAGGGACAGGGCGTCCCGAAAATTTGCCAATTTCTATTGTTCGTGTCGTTGGTCATTTTAAGTGCTTTATATAAATTTCCATCTTTGACCTTATATCTATTTAGTAAATCCGACACTTAGGATATACAGTGTTGTTGGATTATTAGTGCTTTATATATATATATAGAGAGAGAGAGAGAGAGAGAGAGAGAGAGAGAGAGAGAGAGAGAGAGAGAGAGAGAATGACACCTTGTCAATGCATTATATATACAAATACAGATATAGCCTTTTGATGAGGTCATTCCCATGATATACATTTTAAGGTCTATATGTATATCTAGGGATAGTATTGAATCGAAAGGCTATATATGTTTTGTTATTTTTTATATCAATGATGAGAAATATCTTAAAAATCCATGTTCCTAATGCTCAATAGTTTATCATGTAAGGCATTGTTACGTCATACTCATTACGACGTCACTATTACAAATAGCACCTGTTTAGAAACATCCGGTATTGGCAATTGTGACGTCATCATTATTGCTGTTTCACACAGGCACAATCGTTGATTTTTCAAGCAAAAGTGTTTACCCGTTTTACCTAGGTCACATTTTAGCCGATGGTCGGGCGACCAAATTTTTCTCATATCGTCGACTGAAAAACATGATCGGCCGACATTGGTATCGGGCGACGCGGAGCAGTCACATTAATTCCTGGGAACACAGATAATTTTCAAAAATTAAATAATTCTAAGTCGGCCAACAATCGCCCGATCATCGTTCGCTAAGCCGCAGTTTGATTTTCACCGTCGGCCGACATTTACGAAAACCCAATTCCTAAATGTCGACGACCGACTTAACGAACTGTCTGCCGATGGTCGGCCGATGATCTAACATTGGTCGAAGGACTATTCAACTACTGCTTTAATTGAAAGAATCGGCCACCGACGCAGAAAAAATTATAATATGGCCCGACAGACACAAAATTGGTCGGCAGACAAAAAAGAGGTCAAAATCGGGCAAGACAACGACCGATGAACAGCCGATTGCAGTCCGAAGAATCCTGTTTTTGCCTCAAAAACCGTCGGCCGTTGGTCGTTTTTGGAAATGTGACTGGGGTTTTAATCCGAAAAGCCCGAGAAATTGCTATTGAACACCTTATAAGATGTCTTGTACTTGATCATGTGATCTAGTTTGAGCCAATCTGATAGCTGGTAAGTTGGAGAAAAAAAATTAATATAGATCTTACCGTCGTTGGCAGATACAGAAATTAAATTGAAGTAAACCTTAGCCTGCGTGGCGCAGTGGTAGAACGTCTGCTCTAGAGTCGCGGAGTAAGGAGTTGATCCTTACGTCGCGGGTTCGAATCCCACTGTGCGACGTGGAGACCGGCCCTTCGGATGAGACCGTATAAACCGAGGTCCCTTGTCGCAGTAGATGCTGGCACGAAAAAGATCCCTCACTGTTCAATGGCCTTGAGGGCCGAGTGTATAGGTCAAAATTTGTAGCTCTCCACCGGCAAGTGCATGATGGCGTCTCCATATGAGTGAAAATTCTCGAGAGGGACGTTAAACAACAAACAAACAAACAAAAATAAATTGTAAAGTATACCACAGAACTTAAGCAAATTGCTTTAGGTCTATGAGTATACTGAGCACTGTATCATGTAAAACATTTGAAAAAGATGCCGATACCACTCTGCGCTGAACTGTGGGTTATAATGGACCTACTTGCAACCTGAAATGTGACTGCCTATATTTTAGGTCGATATTAAATGATGATCGAAGCCAAATTAAGGATATACATGAAAGTATATTTGATCCTTTGCGCATTATTTATAAGATGCATTCGTAACCTGACTTTTGAATTTGTAGGACGTACATGTATTTTAAGTTTTTCTATATTTCACAATTTCCATCTCTGCAGCATTCTTTATTGGATAGATATATTTGGTTTGGTTTCAATTGAATCAAAATAAATGAATAAATAAATAAAAAAGAAGTATTGAAGGTAAACCGACATCTAATTCAAAAGTTTTCAAATGATATATTGTTTCCATCGCAAATCAAAACTTCACGTGCATTATATAAATTAAAATGTAAAAGTAAAATTTAATTGATTGCTTTTCAACTATTGGACAATACGTTTTTTTTAACAGGAATTCTTCATACAACAAAGCCAAACATATAAAATAGTATATTCTTGGTAGGTAAGGAATGTATAGTACACCCATCTTTTTCTGTTATTTAGAGTTAGAAATTTGATGCATTATCAAGACAAGGAATCAGATGCCAGATCTCTGAATCGTCCCGGAAATATGTTTTAGTTCCGACAATGCATTCTTTTGGAATTTTTATTTAAGGTATCTGATGTACAATTGACTAAAAAATGATGCATGGTAAGGTATACATCCCATATACTCATTTGATAGGTATGGGTATAAAGTGTCTAAAATAGCATTTTTTCCCGCCAAATTACTATGGGGAAGTAACTCCAGCATTTGAAATATAATGCAGGAAAACATGATATTTTTCTGGTGATGTCCAAAATCTGTACAATATAATTGATATTTGGTAAAATATGATTGATGATAATAATAAACAATATATTTTTTAAATAAAATAACTAATTTTATCTTTCTCAATTATATTTTGAAGAGAAAATTTCCAATTTACCCCCCCCCCCCTTGACACACACACAAGAAATAATATTGAAGAAAGGAGGATTGTACCTAGTTTATTACATGGTTATTTACACATCAATCACTGTGTTTTTCTGCTCTTTAAAACCATTATGAATATTGAATTTCCATACAAGTTAATTTTGTTTAATGAATAAAAAAATATATTCATTTTTATAAGTAAGAATTTTTTCTCTTATTGAACATGATTGTGTTTTATGTAAGTAGCTATGACAATGTCATCTCACTAAAAATCATACTGCATCAGACAAAAACAATATCTGGATATTACATTGTGCAAAACAGTAGCTTATTTACAAAATACATCAAGTTTTGGGTTCAAATACATCACATTTCACAATAGGTGCTAGCATAAAAATCACTTACTGCTCATAGATGCCAAGCACAGGTCAAAACTTGCAACCTTTCACCAGCAAGTTGTCGTGTCCCAATATGAGTGAAATATTTTTGAAGGGACATAAAGCAAACAAGCACAAGTGCAAATGCTTATGGTACTCATAAATTGAATACTATTCAAAAAAGAGTAACAAGTACAAAAAAAAACTTGACACAACGAGTTTTTCACACAAAAAACATGAGTGCAAAAATTTATGGTACACATAAAAATATCTTTTCCTAGTAACAGGTACATTGTTATTGTGAGAAAAAATGACACAACTTGGGTATTACAGTATCTAACACTTTACAGTCATTGGTCACTCTTGGTTTACCATGAGAGTTTTTTGCACAAAAAACATTACGCAGACCATCTTCGCCTGCACGTTTATGAATTATTTTCAAATGATGCAAACCAAGTCCAGAGCCTGCAACATTCTCTGCCATGTTCATTTTTAGAACACCATTGAAGAGGCCCGCATTTACAGTGCCTGCAATTTTCCAGGGCATCTATAACTGACACCCACTCTATCACCCGTCTTCCATTTCGCCACCCGTTTGCACTAAACTTTTTGCTATTGATCAAACTTTTCATACCAGGAAAACATGTTTCACACGTGTCCCCTTCACAAATATGACCAGATATATAGTTATGGTCGACTAACACATTAATTTTCGACGACTTTTTGAAGCGACCTTTTTTATTCCGCTGCAACATGGACGCCGCCATATTGAAAACTGTTTATAACGACGTCACGAGATATTTAGATATTTTGGTTTTTAAACTTAAA